CAGGCGAATGTGAAACCGAATCAAGCTTGACGTTATGAATAATTTGCAGCAATATTTTGCCAGAGTTGAAAATGTGTTTTGCCCATTTTGTTTTGTCAACTTTTGCCCATTTGCAGAGCAAATACATATTTGCCCTGCCTGCCGTTGTGTTTGTGAGGATTTCTGTGCAATAAAAAGGGCGTGATAAATTCGCTTAATCTTTCGCTTTCGCGCGAAGTATTAACCGACCTTCGCAAACTACCTCATGGCTTTTAATTAAGCATGCATATGTACTCCTAACCTCGTAATCACCAAGTTCTGTATGATCAGAATTTTGCTTACAGTTTTGCAAGCAAACTCTGCGTCCAGGTTAAGATTAAGATGTCGGTGCTCATTAGTCACATCTTCCGAGTATTTTTCACAGTGTCATCTACTGTTCAGGTACAGTTTATGTACTTCGGTCTTTCTTTTCTCACTGAAAACCAATATTCCAACCCTAGTTTATTCTTGCCTTTGCGAATGTAACGCGTTCGTTTCATCAGATCAGATTCGTGTTAGAAGTCAGTTGATAGGCCTTCCTGTAACAGAACTTGGCATGCTCTACCTTTCGATACATTAATCCTGGAGATTTGAGCATTTCAGACATTCACTCATAATAGGTTTAATAAAGCTTTATTCATTGACGTTATGGCGGAACAATGTCCCATGCCATTAACGGAGAACACAACTGTCGATCTCAAATGGATTGTTGCCTGGTTTACTGTTAGAGTAAAGCGTTATAACTCACCCCTAGCATGATGTCAACAGAGATGCTAGCTTTGTAGTTTCCACCCAGATTCAATCGTAAACATTTTCAGCCCAACAAGTGGCAGCCATCACTTTCATTATTGCGGTGTGACAGCACTGTTTACCTTGGGATGTATTTTACTGCACAGACCCATTATCGATCGTGTTTACCGCTGGGATTTGGGTTGAGCAAATTTGCACGGACGTGGTGTGACAAGGGAACACTTTTTGCATGAATACCGAGTACTTGGGACGGCACTAGGAGGACCACTGTTTTCTCTTGACAAATATTTCTGCAGATTTGGACGATCACAAACTTTCCCCAAGCGGTCACAAACTCAAACAAATACCAGAGAAGTAGATCGCAATTCTTTCAATCACAGTTTATCCCATGACCAGTTACTTCTGCATATATAGAAAAATTCAGTTTGTTGTAAGTCATATCTAAAATATACATTTCAGAGTTTAGAGGGAAAATGTGTTAGAGATTTTCAATTTTCAGGCACAGTAAGCGTAATTCCTACTAATAAAACCATATTGTTCGTACTTTTAAAAATCAATTTATACCTTCTGGGATAAGCTATATATTGAACATAAAATAATTTTGGAGACATTACAACCAGCAGTGCGTATTCTTTAGTGTGTGCATTCACACTTTCGATGATACAGTTATCTATGTTAATTAACGCTCGAAGGAATGCAATAGCATTTTAGGTCCGCGAGAACGGACGGGCAGTTCTTTTGTGCACTTCTGTTCCATTGAACTGCACTACTTACGCATTGTGTCTTTTTGTCTTGTCCAAATAATAATTCATAGTTTTGTCACACCAGGACTCGGAAAAGGGAAAACGAAAATAATTAAATTTATTAATTGCAAAAGAGTAAATGCAGTCATTCCAAACCGTTCCCACATTTAAAGACAAGTCAGGTTGTATTTAATGAGTGTTGAAGGTAGTGCTTAGTCTGGAGGGAAACCGACAAGACCTAGACCATGTACATTTTCTAAAACACGTCTAATATGAGTTTGTCACCTCACTTTATCATTAACAGTATTTTATAATGAGTAGTTAACGATCTGCTTCAACATTTTAACTGTCATTAAATGTTCTCGTTTCAAACCTCTACGAGGCAGAAGAGTGATTTCCTACGGACTTCTTAAGACTGCTTATGTAAAATTTACGTATTGTTTTAGTAAACTGCTAAATTGTCGGCGGAGGGCTTTGGTGTCGCGGGGAGAGACAATGTGGCGCTTGACCCACCTCCTTTCCCGGAAAAATGAAATAAAAAGGGGGAAATGGGGAATGCAAAGAATCTCACCCCAAAAACTCCAGTACACCAGCACAGCGATGCAACGGAATGGATTCAAGCTCAGCCAATTCCAAGCCATGTCAGGTCAACCCCTGGCTAAAGGGTCACCTATACCCAAAGCCAACTGGTTAAGGCTCCTAGTTCCATTACCCTCCCTATCTAGGCAGTACCTCCCATTACATCAAGCGCATCCTGCAAAAGCATGATATTCAAGTGTACCATACAGCCCCCTTGAAGATGCAGAACCTGCTGACCTCCCAAAGGACCGGCCTAACCCACAGCACACGCTTGGAGTGTACAAGATCCCCTGCCAATGTGGCAAAATGTACATCGGTGACACTTCCTGGGACCTCCCTACGAGATGAAATGAACATAGAGACCATATCAGGAAAGAATAATTCGATAAGTCTGCCATCATCAAGCACTCCAACACCGAAGACCACCAGATCAGCTAAAGCCAAGCCGAACTCATCACCAGTATTTATACTGGTACCCTCGCCGCATCGGAGAAACCATCAAAATCCTCAAGTACAACACTGTACTGCATGACATCGGCTTCAACATCTGCGAGATATAGCTTCCCATCCTCACATCCAAGTCCAAATGGTCTCCGATACCCTAGGACAAGTGCCCAGCCTATGGGTCTCCTATACCCTTGGAAACCTTCCCCCACGCTCCTTTCCTTCAGACTGACGCACCTCACTGATCTGCAAGCACCCTTGTTCCGCTCGAGTGCCCTAGGATGGATCCTGAGTCAGCATCCTCTCCACACCTCAACGTCTCCAGACATCACTGCTTCATCGTTGGAACCTCTGCAGTCTCCTGACGACGGACAGAGTATACTCTCCGAAATGTTGAGTACCCTCCGGTTCTTTCAGAACCACACATACTCAAAAGAGATATCTATGCATGTTGCTACCACAAACCTCTGGAAATTTTACCCATGGAAAAAAGTGCCCCCCCCAGAAAAAAAATGGTGAAACTCATGGCAGGGGGTGTAGCTATAACTCTTAAGATTTTCTTTAACTTCAAGAACGGTAGTTACAGGTTTAAAGAGAAACTTTTGAGACGTCTGGATATAGGTATGTCCCTAGCAAAAACAAAACATGACTTGAAATCAGCAGCAATGTTAAGCTTACAGTTCTACGTCTTCTGCTAAACGTGACTCTCTCCTTCTGATAAAAATCATGTTCATGAATGGGAGTAGGCCTACTTGTATTTACAATTGTTGCCTGCTTTGTAGGGGTCCGTGGTGTTTTGCACACCAGAGGGAACAAACAACTCACCTTGGGTGTGCCAAAATGGCACCGTGGCTTCGCCTCGGGTGCCATATACCCCCGAGGGTATACAAAACACCATGGATCCCTACACAGCAGGCAACAGTTGTTTTTATACCACGATAATAACACGGTAATAACGAACGCAAAGGAACAAATAGAACTTCATTTTGCGTCACAAGGCATTTCATTTCACTGAATTTTTTTTCAATTGATGAATGTTTGGTAGGGAGTACCATCTTTTGTCTTTGACATTTCCAATTTTTTCCCTAAGAAAGTCTTCAAATTTTGTTATGAAAATACGGGTCTTCCCGTCAAGTCTCTGGCGATGTAAAATTTGGAACCTCCTTATCCGCACACACACAGAATGTTCCCCCGTTTTCTTCCTGCTGATGCTGTCCTGCACAAATATCAAATTTCTGGATTTGTTTTGAAGGAGACAAAAGTCTTCTTAAAAATTAACCTGCTGTCATCTGCTTACATTATTACGGTCAAATTACGGCGAAATTAGCCAAGTTAAAAAACGAACGATGTAAACAAAAATGGCGATCATAGAAGAAATAGTGCCTCACTGTCGCCAACAGCACATCTCGTAAACATGAACTAATGTAATACCAGCGCGGTTGTATAACCCCGTACCCAAGGTCATGCCAATACAACGCGGTGAAAACGACACTTTTTTCAACCGTGGGAAGATTAAATGTACCCTGTGGGATTCATCACTCATGTACCACGGCGAACATTGGTCATGTTCTTGCATTCTGCGCATGCGTGTTTGTGGTATATCATGCGATTGATTCTCGACCAATAAAAGTGCACTCTAATGCCATTGTGTAACAAATGTGGTAGATCAACCCAGTGAGAAAGTTTCATCAGTTTTCTTGTTGAAGAACTACGGCTGGATTGGTAGAAGAACTTGAAATCTAATTATCTTTGGAATTATTTTTTTTATTTTCAAACGACGTCCCCGACATTTTGCCCGGAAAGAAAAATTAATCTGAACAAGATATGATTACAAACGTATTTTTAATGAAGATTGTGACCTCGCCTGCATAATGAACATGACTGAAATTGAATTTCACTAAATGGCATTGAGCGTGATTATGTGCCTGGGTGGATCCCAAAGGCTAGCAATTGTTGGCATTTCGTAGGGAGTCTTTTTTGGCGGCTGGCTGTTGTTCACCAGAGAAAAGCCCAAGTCGGGCGTGAACTCTTTCCTAAAAGCCTACAACTTCTTTTTAAACGTGACTTCATTTGCTCAGGGTGACAAGAAGGGAAATGATAACATGCAGTCAACCCCGTTTGTCTGTATACATTGCCCACGAGGTACGGGTCTATCTTACCCAATAGTCTTAGTCATAAACTAACAATTAAATTTATGCCTGTGAGAACTAAACCGGCTGAAAAGGCTGCATAAAAAGTGCATGTGCATGATGGGTTGGCATGTTTAGCTTAAACAAAGCAAATGTACATTAACAAATCCCCATGTCATGGTAATGGTTCACAGTTGCCACACTCATGCATACAGTACTGGTATTCGATCTCGAAGTGAACAATTCTGATTATAGGAAATGTTAGCCAATTCACACAATGTAAACCAACCTACACGTTTGCATGGAGTCATCCTCTTGTTTGCTCATTTTTCGGCAGATTTGGTATTACCACTTCTACAGCCTATTTGTACACAATGGAATCAAAGAGCTGAAGTTGATGCTGAAGTTGGTCCTGATCAACCATTCTCGAGTCAAAGAACTGACGTACATGCTTTCTGCAATAAAGGTACTACTACTTTTCCCCTTATTTGGCATGAACTAGTTAACTTACAGGGCTCCGGTTGAGCAGCATCGCACAATGGATTTTGTGAAGATAAAGATTCAACACATTAAAACGCATTTTATCTAGAAAATTTTCTTCGAAGAAAACAGAGTAAATAAATAACTTATGTCACTCTCTACATAATACTTCTCCCCTATATTGTAAGGAAATATCTTTCCAATAAATCAGTTATCTTTAAAGCAATGTGTTGCCATGGCAATCAAAACCCAAACTTGTTTCCGCCCATGGTCATTTTTACGCTAAATACACCTTAACTCACGAACATGCACTTGATAGATTATGCAGAATTCCAAATTTGAGAAAAGAACTAAACACGGCGATCCCAACTACATTCTGGGTAAAACAAGTCCTGGTCCATTCTCGTTGACTGCCAATTTAGAAATCACTAGCAAGTCTTGTTTGTTTGACGCAGTCAGGCGCTTGAATAGGTACTGTAAGTTGTCTCGCCTGTTTGCTTTGCATTATTTCTTCCTGATTGCCGATCGTAATTACCTCCTGCACGCGGCTTTCATTATCGAGCACACTATCTGATTCGAAACTGCTTCTGTACAATTTTCAATTTCAATTTTTCACCCAGTGTCTTCTTTCGAACAGCGGCTTCTCTTAATATTAAAATGTACAGTCCATCATTTGCAATTATCAAAGTTATTGTTCAAAAGCAAAGGCCTACTTGGTTTAAAAAAAGATTCATGGACTATACTCAAAGTGAAATTATTCTTTCTGTTAAACTGTCATTTGAAGAAAACAATGGAAGAAGGCCATTTCCAACACATTTTGGAAACCGCATTTTCCGGAAAATTGCCATTAGAATCGCGCGCAAGCGTTGAAAAGACTCGCGCGCGCGCAGTGCTATAATTCGTAGGTTCAGCGTCTGACATCGTGGTTGCACTCTTCTTAATTAAGATTTTGAGTAATTTTGTTGCTTCACACGGACATGATGCACAGATGAGAAATAGGGGACTGTACCTTTAAGTGACCAAAAGGCGCAATGGCAGAACAGACGTATTAGGTCGTCTTAAAGTAACATAGGGCCTATCCTTGCACTTTCGCTGCCTAATTATGGGAAAACACATGAATTTCGAGAAAATCGAAACTCCACTGCTGCAATCTAGACTATTGTTTTTATCTCAAATGTTGCTTTTAGTGTTCTACGCATGTACATTGTGCACAGGCACTGTGGGAATCAGGAATAAGGCGTTGGTCATGTACATTGTGTACAGGCACGGTGGAAATCGGGAGTGAGGCGTTGGGCAAAGGTCATCGTCTCTCTCAGCAGACGAACCAAAGTTTAGGCCTATTTGAATTCAATACAAGAAATCTATGACGCGTAACAAGATAGATCATCACACAAGTGGAAGTTGTTTGAATCGGGACAGTGTGATTAACTCCAATAGGGCCGAGGGGACTGATATAATACACACAAAAACTCATGAAATGAACTTAAAAGATTTCAGGAGACTTCTCTTTTTTTAAACGAAATCATAAGGGTGTCATTCCCGGAATAGGTTTGGGGGGTGTATGCCACCCTAAATCTTCTTTTGAGTCATTCTATAATTCGCTTACTTTTTGATGGGAGAAACAAAACAAAAATTTTGTAGTATTTCTGAACTTTCCACTGGCCTAAATTTATCAGGTATGACTAAGAAAAAAAGTAAAACATTACAAAATTAGAATGTACCGTTTTGATTTAGGATTAAGGTACACGTTAAACGTGCAAGCATGTTTTGTCTTCTATGAACAGCATCTCTGTGTAATTTGATGTCCAGCCCCTCCAAAGATTTGGGCAATTTAAGAAATCATGTCATCGCCCATCCAACCACTTTCTGGCTCGGATTAACCTCAATGGGCAAGCACACTGATTGTTGTATATGTGTGTATATATATATATTTACTATAATGTAATATTAACGTATACCACAATTATAATTTCCCAAGGTCACTTTGTTCTTCCTTTCCTTTATTTCTGTCGCTTCACATTTGAAAGAAGAAAATATCCGTCCTGACCCCTTCCCTTCCCGTGCACGAACTAACCATTCTCCCCTTCGAAACATGGGCTTAGCTTTCACTCTGTTATCAATAACTTTCTGAAGGACTGATTTGGGCCTGTAATAAAGGTGATGTGTTTAATCACGCAGGCGCACTTCAGTCGCCACCAAACTCTTTGATTTTTTTACAGTTAAATTTAACTCCTCCGTAAAACACTTTCCCTGCAGGATGTTTTTTAAATGAATACAAAGAACAGCGTAGTGTAAAACCATTCTTTGAGTTGTTCAGTTCACAACAATGACATTAAGTTTGGCGAATTTGTTGCCTTGGAGACAGCCAAAATGATAAAACGGGGCACAACACGTTGTTTAGTGACGTCATTTATACGTGTAATGTAATTAGACCCATGGTGATGTTTTTCTATTCCAACCGTTTTTAGAACCCCGACCTCAGTTGACTTGAAATGACCTCTACATTATAAAAACCCAATGTGTTCAAGAAATGAGTTAAGTAAGATTCTAGTGAAGTGTACTCCTGATTACTTTTTTGCAAGTTTCCTGTCACACTGTGTACGATATAATGAAAACGGAAAAATATGGATAAACTGTTCCAGCAGTTTGTTCCATTACATTTGCAATTTGTCACGACCATGAAGTACGTTAGCCAATGCGGCTTTAGATATTTCCGATTATATCGCACTTAACAATAGCAAATAGCATTTCGAAAAACACATGCGATGTTTTAGGAACAAATACAGCACAATAACCGCTGTTTTAAGCGATGCACGGGCGAGTTTGATGAAAATGTTTCTATTCACAGTATTACTAAAACAGCATTGTGTTATTCCACAAAATACAGAGAAATCAGGGAGGCCACAAAGGCTTTTTCTGTCGTTTTCCAGTTTTCCTTAATTAACTGGTGTGTTTCCATTGAATTTTATTGTTATTTTATTGTGAAGATTATCAAAATAAAAATGGATTCATTTGTATAATTTCCATATACAAACGCCAAACAAATTCCAATACCAATTTCAACTCAAGTCGCTACTCTTTAATGCGTCCAGGCTTTTGCCGATCCTCATATCCTTAGACAGGAATATAAAGACCATCAAACTCATCTACAAGAAAGAGTGAAAGTCGTACCATTTTATGGCCAAGGCATGTCAAGGGTTGCAAACCAGTAAATAAAGTGCCAAACAAACCCTCGTGTGTTTGCAAGCTCCCTGAACGTTCCGACAAAATATGATTCACTCAGGGTAAGCAACTTGCTTAATTCCTGAAATGCACCCCAGCCTTTGAGACGACAGGCATGTTTATGTACCGCCCTCTATAGTTTCTCCCATGTATTCTGGTGCCGTTATCGTCTGAAACCAACGTTCGCGTCACTCGGTTCAGAGGACCGGTAAATCTTGTGATCATATCTCAACAAATTGTAACCTCTTTAACAACTTCGTTTGGGGATTTCGTGAAACAAAGCATAACCGATAAAAGAGTCTAAGTCTAGCACATTGCTGAATGCCTGACTGACGGTTCGAATCGAAATCAAGCCTGCTATGTAATTTAATCCAAAATCTACAGAAATATGTTAAAAAAATGTCCATTTTTTCCATAACAGTTTAGAGATCTGTTTAGTTAGATTATACTCACAGTGGCGACCAATAGTTCTTTTTCAGCGGAAGTCAACAAGCACACGATCTCCTTATATCCTCTGCGGGGATATAAGTCCTCTCAGGAACCTCTCAATTATCAACATTTACTTCATTGAAAATTTTCAAGATGTGATAATTGTCTCGATTGTATTATTGGTATTCACCTACTTCCTCTTACGAGTTCAGCAGTATCACTTTAGTGATGACTGATTCTGGTAACCACTTTACCATCCTAAAAAAAATCAATCAATGCATAGCTGGGCATCTTCTTTACTACAAAGATAAACCTAGGAGGGAACCTAAAGCATTGTTATTGTGGTTGTACGTTGTGTCAAACTTTTAAAGAAAGGTATAAATTAGATTATTGTTAACTGAGGTATTTTACTTTTGCTTCCTTTTTCTTAACTATCTAGGTCTCCGCATAAATCTTCGCTTTTATCCTTATCAAAGTGAGCTGTGTTATCTAAATAAAAACTCTACAAACATTAGTGTCTGAAGTCATTCGTGGTAATAGTCCCTTGTTGTCCCTTCAAAGTTCATATAAGGACAGCCTTTATCTGGCAGCCATTGAACACCGAAGACCAGCAAAGAAAAGAGAGCTGGTTACGTTGCTTGCAGTACAAATAACCGCCATTTGCCCGTTTTCTAAAGCCCAGACGCACGACAAAAGGCAAAGTTTTTTACAATGCTCTCTGGATTATTATTCCCACACAAAATTATCTGGAGGAGCGTATAGTAGGTCTGAAGTACGGCCTTTTGTCCCCTATTCTTTGGCTAGTTTGTTTTTGGTATAGTAACTGCATGAATCGACCCCGACCATTGACACTGTAGAATAAAATGATGTAATATGGCACAAACGAGCGTAAATAACTCACAATACAAGAGGGATTCCCCGGCCATAGTTAAGCTGTGTTGAGTCATTTAACATAATATAAACCAGTGCTACGGTTTTGCTAAGATGGCGGCCACGAAAACATTTTGCGTATGTCGCACACAGTGAGCTGGGATTCGCGGGTCCAAGTACATATGTCCGTTAACCACAAGTTCAAGAATAACACACAACCAGCTGCCTGGTAGACAGCGCGTGAAGTTTGTTTTCGATATTCGGAGTACAGAGTCTACAACTATCTTGCCGTTACGTTACCAGCTTTACAGAACCAACTGGTCCTCCGACAAGCTGTAGTCCAGTTTAAACACGAGTTGATTGACGGCGTGGGCGGCCTGCGTGCATGAGCCGGATATATCGGCCCTTGTTTGTGTTTGCCAAATTCCACGGGGTTGAGTGTGTAGTTAGCCACCATCGCCTCGC